CTGGGTTTAGAGGGGGAGTGAGCCAATTCCACCTCTAAAGCCAGCCTGGTATATTTGGGAATTTGGGCATAGCATCACTTACTACTTCCTGCTGGAGGGGGGCACTGTATCTTATGGGGATGCAAAGAAAATTTTAGGCCTATGGGGTAGTCCATGAGGCTGTATTGTGTGAACCAGTTGCCTTGAAACTGCTCTGGATGTTGGATCATCTGGGCCATGGTGTCATCGGAGACCTTTCAGGGGGTCTTGGCTGGTGAAACCTGATGTATCTTAATCTGGAACAAATCCACAGTCATGGGTTGGCCACTCCCACAAGTTCTGTGCCAGCTCCACCCCAGCACATCTTCCAGATGGAGTCAATTGTACGTCAAAGGCTTGTGGCTGGGTTGGTGTCCCCGTCCCTCCACTGGAAACCTTGTCTCATGACAGAAGATGGCCTGTTCAGGCTCTGTATCCTCCATGACCAGGGGTCTTGGCTAGAGTCACCCTCGTAGATTCCAGGAACTTTCTATTGTACTAGGTTTGTACTTGGCCCCTGATTACCACCGCCAACCCCCCTCCCCCCACAAGAACACAGCCCACAGAATCAGCCAAGCAGGGCTCATAGGGGCTCACAGAGGCTGAACAGACAACCAGAGAGCCTGTATGGGTCTGACCTAGGTCCTCTGCATATATGTTAAGTATGATTGCATAGCTTGGTGGTCTTGTGGGACTCCTAACAGCAGGAATAGGGGCTGTCTCTGACTCCTTTGCCTGCTTTTGGGACCTTTCTCCTCCTACTGGGTTGCCTCGTCCAGCCTTGATATGAGAGTTTATGCCTAGTCTTATTTTAACTTGTTCTATCATGATCAGTTGATATCCCTGGGACACCTGCTCTTTTCTGAAGGGAAATGGAGGAGAGGAGGAAGGGGAAACTGTGGTCAGGATGTAATATATGAGAGAAGAATAAAAACAATCTTATATTCTTGTTGCTTTTTGAAATTTTATTTTTATTTATTTATATTTAGAGGGAACAAAAATATCAGTTCAGTCTAGAAAGGCTTTCCTAACCATTCAACTTGGACCTTTATTTTAACTAGGACACTACAAAATAATCATAATTAATAAAAAAAAACAACACAAAATAACTTCCACCCATTTGGGGTTTTTAGTGCCCGAGTGATAGCTGCATCTGGCATATCAAGTTATATAGTTCATGTAATTTTTATATCTGCCAGATATATTTTAGAATGTAAATGAAGAAGGCTAATTAATTTTAATACAATCATCTCAAATTAACTTCCCTCCCACTATTGCAATGACCTCTCTAGATTTATCCTGCTCTATTTCTCTGTTAAGCGAGAAAACATTTCTTCTCTCTCTGGGCTGGTCATGCCTACTCAAGCACTGTTTAACTGAGCTCTTGTCAAGGACAGCATAACCAGTCAGGTTGGTCTGAATTTAATCAGCACTCTAGTCCAGTGCTTATTTTATCACTTCGAATAATAGCAGTTCTCAGATAGTTAATTTTTTTTTTTTGTGCCAAAATGTTCAGGGTCACTCCAGACACGGCAGTCCCTTCTGAACAAAAGTGGATTTGATTCTCTCTTCTGGCAGGTACACATCAAGGGCCTCCTTTCTCCTGCTCAT